TGTAACCTGAAGTTGTTGTCCCTCCTGGGAGGTGGCTATGCTGAAGATTCGAGCCTGGTTTTAGAAAGTTGACACTGCAGAGCTAAGGCTATCTTTAGTCCCTCCAGTGGCCATTCACTGTCCACCTGCATCCTTTTAACTACTGGTAAAGCTTTTGGGATGTATTAACTTAGCAGGACACTAGCTTCCATCGCTCCCAAAGGCTAAGACCACTATCAAACAAACAACACTTGAGAACTACAGATTTCCCCGCCTTAAGTTCCCAACAACATACCTGAAAACTTCCTTGACAATTGCCCCCCCCCCCCTTTTGTTTTGTTTGTTTGTTTGGTTGGTTTAGACAGTGACCAGACAGCCCAGACTGGCTATGAATCTGTGGTGATCCTCCTTGCCTCTGCCTCAGAGTGCTGGGATTTCAGTGTGTGCTACCAGAGTCAGATGATTTATGACTGTCTTTTGTTCTGACGATGAAAGTTTATGTAACTGTTTCCATGTTAAGACGTGTTCTTCAGCCTAGTGGTGGTGGTACACCCCTTTAATCCCAGCACTTGGGAGGCAGATACAGACAAATCACTGAGTTCAAGGCCAGCTCAGTCCACAGAGAAACCCTGTCTCGAAAAACAAACAAACAACAAAAAAAAGACAAGTTGTTCAGGGCAACCAGAATGTGTGTCCCTAGGCCATTGTCACTCATATTTGGCTCAGGGTAAACAGTCACTTATTTCCACTGGCAGCTGTGTTTTGTGTGGAGGACTTTAAGAAGAGAATCAATGTGGCCAGATGTCGTTATCCCAGGGGAGAGGCTGAGGCAGGAAAACTGAGGGCTCCAAGCTATTTTGGGCTACATAATCTTAAGACCAAAAGAAAAAAAAAAGAATACAATAACACAAAGTTTGTGTTGATACTTCTACATGGAATTAAAAATATAAGTTTGTTCCTCCTTACCGCAGCCAATGAGTAAGTCCTCTCCAGGTTTTCTATCTTCTCACACTATCTTCTTCAGGGTCACTATTACTGGGATGAACCACCACGACCAAAAGCAGAGTGGGGAGAACAGGGCTTATTTGGCTTACATAGAATGGACCACAGTGCACTGGGGGAAGCCAGGGCAGGAACTCAAACAAGGTGGGAAAATGGAGGCAGAAGCTGATGCAGTCATAGAGTAGTGCTACTTACTGACTTGCTTCCCAAGGCTTGCTCAGTCTGCTTTCTTATAGAACCCAGGACCACCAGCCCAGAGAGGACCCAAACCCACATGGTCTGAGCCCTCTCCCATCAATAACTAATTAAGAAAATGCTCTACAGGCTTGCCTACAGCCTGATCTTATGGGTGCATTTTCTCAAATAAAATTCCCTCCTCTCCGATGACTCTAGCTTGTGTCAAGTTGACATAAAACTAGCCAGGACAAACCTTACCTCTTAAGTTCCCAGAGTAATGCCAAATTAGTATGGAAGTTGCTGGACTTGACTCACCACATCTGTCCCTGCATCACCGCAGAGCATCTAGTCCAGAAGAAAACGCTGTGGCATTTTGTAGCTACATCATTCGCAGTCAAGACTTTCCACACCTGTCAGCAGGCCCCAGACATTCTTGCTACATTGGAAAATTTCCTCCTTGCTCTCTTTACTTAAGAAACTGAGTAAAACTGCACCTTTCAAATACCTGTGACTTTGCCCATGTTCCCCTCCTTCACCTAAGTGGAGCCTCAGTGATCATAGAAGTCTTTCCTTTCTCTTGTTACTGCAATACTTTGAACACACGGCAAGTGTATGTGAATCACCCTGTCCTCTATCGACATATCTCTCCTACTGGGCTACAGGATCCTTGAGGGTAAGGGACAACCACACATTGACTCCCTCACGGGTGAGCTTTTCCCCAAATGCTACCACCAGCTAGTCATTGTGGTACATGCCCATACTCCCAGTGTTGAGGAACAGAGGCAGGAGGATCTCCAGTTGGAAGTCAGCCAGAGCTACATAACAAGACTTTGTCTTTAAGAAATGAGTAAATAAAAATTTAAAAAATTGACTACCCAGGCAGCCTCAACACCAAGATGTCAAAGAATATGAACTGCTCCTTCCAGCTACCAAGGTTTAAATACCCTAAATCCCTACTTCCACTCAGGTCTCAAGTCCCTTACCATCCCACCCAAGTCCAGCTCAACTGTAAAACAGTATTCCTTTCACTATTGGTTCTCCTCTGGCCTTCAAATTATCATTCAGGAATTTCAGGCAAACTCTTTCCCTGCCAAAACCCTCACTAACTCCCTCCTGAATATTCGGGGTCTTGAGCTGAGCAAACATGTGCCCAGCATAGCTCACAAAGGACCTTGACATGTCGTCATGAAGTGCCACCTCATATGGGGTTTTCTGGCTTTTCAAAGTCCAATAGGGTAGACGGTGCCTGTCTTGAGCCTCCAGGCATTATCACTCCAAAGAGTCTCTCCCACTTGCCTCCCTGACTGCTGGAGGCCTAATTCACAGGCCATTCTCACAGTTATATTGTAACAAACCCAATCTGGAGCAGGTGGCCTACCGGGCCTCCCATTTTCTTCCCTGGCCCCAGGGATTGAAGCAACAAAGCACTCTACCACTAAGCTAAGCCCCTTGACCCCTTATTTTATGGAGGTAACAGGAGCTTTTTAAAACTCTTCTTGGGCTGGGGGTGTAGCTCCATGGAAAAGTACTTATCTAGATAGTGGATACAAGGCCCTGAGTCTGAGCCCCAGCAGTATCAAAAATAAACACTTTTGTCTGTGAGACTGGGATTCTCTGTGAAGCTCAGGCTGGCCGCAAACCGCCACCCTCACACCTCAGCCTCCAGAGTTCAGGGACTACAGTATGTTTCACCACAGCACCCTGGCTGAACATTTCTTTGCTGTGTTTCCCCCTCAACGCCATTTCTCTGTGTAACAAGTTAATGGTTTCCTCCCCTCTCCCCCTGCCAAAAAGTTACAAAGTAAAACAAACTGCCCTTGAGTGTGCGAGTCAACTCTTCCTATGAATTTCAAGGGAGCGGAAGAAGGGTTCTGGTAAGAGGTTAGGTTACGGTATGAGTAACACATGTTGAAAAGATAACAGGGCAGGTGACATTACCATTACCAAAATATCGTGTACCACACCTTTCCCGCTGGCTGTGCTAAACTGTGTGGCACCAGCAGACACACTAGAGAACTGGGGTAGGAAGGGTTTGGCAGGATAGGCAAGGTGGAAGGGAAGCACCTCTGGGGTGGTCTCAAAAAGAGCAGAAACAGGATCAGTCCAACACACAGCAAAGAGAGAAGAGACTAGCCTGTTGTGGAAGTCTAAGAGAGCGCCACTACCACATACGGTAGAAAACAAGATGGCACTAAGTGCCCTGTGGTGGCACATGCCTGTAATCTCAGCTCAGAGGCAAGGCTAGGACAGCTAACTCAAGGACAGCTAACTCAAGCCCAGCCAGTCACCAGAGCAAGATTGTCTTACAAACAGTGTTCTTAGTGACAGGAAGCCTTACCAGGTTCCAGCCTGCAACAAGGACTTTCTGAAGAACAACAGTTTAATATAAAGTGAACTAGGAGGCAGGGAGCATTGCCACCAAAGCAATGAAGCTAGAAGGGACACCGGGAACAAAAGTCCTAACCGAAGTAAAGGCCAGGGGAAGGAGAAGAATAGGTGCATGGTGGAATATTTAGAACTGACAGGCCTCAGGCACGTTTTTAGGCCTGAAGAGCAAAAAGAGTGGGTGCTGAGGACGAAGGAGGGAAACAGCAATTTGTTCAGAAATCAGATGGCCCATTTAAGGAACTACATGGGAAAACAAACTTGACCCCACATCAATGACTCCAGCCCACACTGTGCCTTATAGACTACTCACATTACATCTACGCATCTTTTTTTTTTAATTAAATCTAACTACATCAGGAGCTACAATCACTCAAGGGTGATGTGAAATTTATGATGTCGGATGTAAAAAGGGCGTCCCCAGAGCCAAGTTGTTTGACAAGCATCATCCACTTGGGTTCTAAAAAAACAAATACCTTACCCATAAATTCTGGGGCCTATGGATGGGAACGTCTGGAGGAGAAAGTGGGCACCTGAAGGTGTCCAGGAAATAAAGTTCAAGATATCAGGCTTTGAAAAGCTGGTGACTTCACACCGGGAGGTGCAGCAAGGGGCTTTCTCCTAAGTTCCCAGATCTGACTCTCCAAATACCACGGGAGAGGAAGCACCAACTTATCCCTCAACTTCCTACTCCTCCCCTGCAGCTTAGGATGCTATACACTACAGCTTCGGTTATCTGGCCTTCTCCCACACAGGTCTTGTAGGATCTCTTGCATAGAAACATAACTAAGATGCCCTTTCCCCAGGCAACCTGTCGACTACCTATTTCACTGGCTCAAGGAGATTTTGTAGGCATCTAAGGCTTCTCGGGCACATTCTACTACTGTTTTCTGACGAGAGGGAGGGGCTGATGGCGGTGTTGAGCTGGTATAAGGTCTGAAACACTGCTTAGACACAAGGTGAGTCACCGCTTAGTTTCAGTTTCTCCAGCTGTTCTTCTAATAGAAGGAAAGAGTCCTAGCACACCGTCCTCGCTGGATTTTTAAACACTGCGTTATTCCTTTCAGATGTGCTACAAGCATCATACAGTCGTAGACCATCAACAATACAGGAATAATGCTGTTCTGAACGCAGCTACTAAACATCCTACTTCCGAAGGGTCTGGTCATCACTTACGGTTATGCTTTCTCCCTCCTGATTTCCAAAAGGGCCTAAGATCTCCAAAGGGTTCAGAAGTCATGCCGTGGCGGCCTGGACGATGCAAAGCAACCAAGAGCGTCGAGCCTTGCGCACATCCAAGGGACTGGAGGAGCGGCGCGACCGCGCGATGGCTGGGCGTTCTGCGCACCTCGCCCACTCTGCTTTCGCGGCGCCCCTCACAAACGGGGAAACTGAGGCTCCCGGGATAAAACCCTTAAGCCCAGTGCGCGCGGCCCGGCGAGCCAGGCCGGACTCACCTTGGCGCTGTGCACAGCCTCCTGCGCGCCGCGGAGCTGCAGCCAGATGCGCGCGGGCAGCGGCTCCTCCGCCCCGAGGGCGCCGAGCACCGCCAGGCCCACGCCGAACAGAGCCTCGATGCGGCCGCGGCTCCGCTCCAGCAGCGCCGCCTTCTCGGCGGGCGCCGTGAATTCGTCCAGCACCACCCGGGCAGCCATGGCGGGCGCGGCCTCCCGTGGCGCCGGGGGCCGGCGGCGGCGACGCCCCCTCAGCGTGCCGCCGCTGCACCGAGCCACTCGGGAGGCGTGGGCCGCACCGGCCGTCTCGCCCGTCCACAGGCCCCGCTACACCATCCCGACACGGCCGCCGCAGCTTAGCAACTGCGGGCAGTGACTACCTGCCGCCCCGCTGCCAGAGCCGCCGCCGCCGCCGCCGCCGCCACAGCCGCCACAGCCGCCACGCATGCGCTCAGCCTGCCGCCGTCATTGAAGCTCGCCGCCCCGTCGCCGGGGGTGGGTTGGTAGGCTGAGGGCGACGGAAGTCGACGACGCACGCGGTCGCCATGTTGGTTAAGGGCAAGCGTCGGCAGGCAAGGCCTGGGTGGCCATATTTGATGAGGGCCTGTTGCTTTTGGTCTTCTAGCAAACGGAAGTTTTGGGTTTTACATTGGTAGGCAAATGATTCCTTTTTTCCTGTCTTTTTGTTCCCTTTACTTCCTTCCCTTATTTACTTCTTTCAGGAAAAAAAAAATGGTAACAGAAAAAGAAAATGAAACCACTAGCGGCGAATTGAAAGGCTAAATAAATTGCTACCATAGTGTCAAGTACCTGTAATCCCAGTGAAACAGGAAATGAGGTTGGCAAGTCGGCTGAGGGCAAGCCTGAGGTGTACCAGACCAGCTTGGGCTACCAAGAGAAAACTTGTTTCAAAAACTAAACGAGAGATGGCTCAGTGATTAAGAGTGCTTGTTGGGTACTCAGACAGAGTTTGGATAACAGCATCTGCATATCAAGCCAGACACAGAAACAGACCTATAACCTCAACTCTAAGGGAGACATGAGGGCTTGCTTGTTTAGCAGAGACAGGGCCAAAGGGGAGCCGCTGGTTCAGGCAGAGACTGTAAAGGAGGAGATGAGGAGCGGTAGAGGAGCCGGCCGAGGCCCCTTCTGGCTTCTGCCTGGAGAGACGTGTCTACCATCTCACACTTGTGCTCACACACAAATACATACATGAAATCATTCTAAAATAAGCATGTAGGTGGAGTTTTCCATCTAGACCGTGGGTCAGCTCTTAAAACATTCAGAAGGTGCCTTGGCAAAGACATCTTCAGTGTACAAAAAGATTATATAACATCTCCTTTTTTGCTTAATTAAAAAAAGAAGATTCTGACTTTAACATAGTAAAACTATATATAACATTACAGTTATAATATTTGTGTTTGGCAAAATTAGAGAAAATACTTTAATATCTATCTTTGTGAATCTAAAGTTTTATACATAATTGACATTTTATCATCATTAAGGAAAACTGTAAGTTTAATTATTTAATCTTTAATTCCATCAAAGACACTAGAAGGGTGAAATGTTACCTACTGATAGGGATATCTGGCTGCCTGGACAGTCAGATGTTCTGTAATGTTGGGCATCCAACTTTGGCCTACAGGCCTAGTATAGCTGATAGACAATTTGAGAAGCAGGGAATTTTGATGGACTGTCCTACCTTGTCTTCGGAAAGTTTGGCACTTTTTTTTTTGCTTCCTGCTGGTCTAGTTTGGACAGTATACTATCAGCAGTTGAGGTAAGGACAGTTTTTTGTTTTTTGGGGTTTTTTTGCCAAAATAGTTAGCTTTTTCCGTAAAGAAAGTAAACTCCATATGGAGTTTCTTTGATGCCCATCATCTTCTTTTGAAGCAAATTGGTACTGACAAGAGCAGACATGTCTTACTATCGTGAAAAGCCTTAGGTTATTAAACATTAGTGCCATATTCTATAGGTCTTTGAAGTGTTTGAAGATCAACTATCTATCTAATATATATCTCTGTAAGACCTTGAAAACATACCTAACATGACTATAAATTAGATTATTATAGTTGACTAACTACTAATCTGTATTTTTATACATTATATTTTAAATGAGCTGCATAAGCACCAAATCCTAAACGAGCAGAAACATACATATAGTATAGCAAAAATCACTTTAAATTTGTATCAGTAAACCAAAATCCATACCAATGTAAAGTATTTTGTGATTAATAGTTGTTTCTAGATTAAAGTTGATACAAAAGTTTACCCTTTTTTTTAACCATTCCTATATCATATCCTCCACTTTTCCTTTATAAAGAGAACTTTGAATTTAACTCTTTTGTTTAACTTGTTTTTTTTTTTACAATGAATGATAATAACTTGTAATCAAACCCCATTAAATGATGACAAACGTCCATAATCCATCTTTGGGGAATATAGGCATCATTTTCTCTAGACTGCTTCCTGTTGTCTGGGGGTGCTGGCATCTTTGAGTGAACCTTAAAAAAATTCAGGATAACCCGGGGCTCCCGGGCGGGCAGCAGTTCCTTTGTTTCTGTGGCCTGCCTGCACCAAGCGGGGTAGGCGCTTTGTCTGCGGGCTGCCCAACCAGCACGGAGGCCTGATCTTTCGGCGCCAGGAGACCCAGCATTGGGGTGAGTTTCTGGCCCACGGCGCCAGCCTGGGACGGGGAGCTCGGGGGTTTCTTGGCCCCCTGTCCTGCTTGGGCTCTCTGCTGCCTCTTTCTTCCTGGCCCACCCAGCTTCCGTCCAGACCCCTCCCCACCTCGCCCCCACTGCCCTCTTTTGGCGCGTAGCATCGCCCAGCGCAGCCTATCTGGGCGCTGGGTCCGAGTACCCGGGGCTCCCGGGCGGGCAGCAGTTCCTTTGTTTCTGTGGCCTGCCTGCACCAAGCGGGGTAGGCGCTTTGTCTGCGGGCTGCCCAACCAGCACGGAGGCCTGATCTTTCGGCGCCAGGAGACCCAGCATTGGGGTGAGTTTCTGGCCCACGGCGCCAGCCTGGGACGGGGAGCTCGGGGGTTTCTTGGCCCCCTGTCCTGCTTGGGCTCTCTGCTGCCTCTTTCTTCCTGGCCCACCCAGCTTCCGTCCAGACCCCTCCCCACTTCGCCCCCACTGCCCTCTTTTGGCGCGTAGCATCGCCCAGCGCAGCCTATCTGGGCGCTGGGTCCGAGTACCCGGGGCTCCCGGGCGGGCAGCAGTTCCTTTGTTTCTGTGGCCTGCCTGCACCAAGCGGGGTAGGCGCTTTGTCTGCGGGCTGCCCAACCAGCACGGAGGCCTGATCTTTCGGCGCCAGGAGACCCAGCATTGGGGTGAGTTTCTGGCCCACGGCGCCAGCCTGGGACGGGGAGCTCGGGGGTTTCTTGGCCCCCTGTCCTGCTTGGGCTCTCTGCTGCCTCTTTCTTCCTGGCCCACCCAGCTTCCGTCCAGACCCCTCCCCACTTCGCCCCCACTGCCCTCTTTTGGCGCGTAGCATCGCCCAGCGCAGCCTATCTGGGCGCTGGGTCCGAGTACCCGGGGCTCCCGGGCGGGCAGCAGTTCCTTTGTTTCTGTGGCCTGCCTGCACCAAGCGGGGTAGGCGCTTTGTCTGCGGGCTGCCCAACCAGCACGGAGGCCTGATCTTTCGGCGCCAGGAGACCCAGCATTGGGGTGAGTTTCTGGCCCACGGCGCCAGCCTGGGACGGGGAGCTCGGGGGTTTCTTGGCCCCCTGTCCTGCTTGGGCTCTCTGCTGCCTCTTTCTTCCTGGCCCACCCAGCTTCCGTCCAGACCCCTCCCCACTTCGCCCCCACTGCCCTCTTTTGGCGTGTAGCATCGCCCAGCGCAGCCTATCTGGGCGCTGGGTCCGAGTACCCGGGGCTCCCGGGCGGGCAGCAGTTCCTTTGTTTCTGTGGCCTGCCTGCACCAAGCGGGGTAGGCGCTTTGTCTGCGGGCTGCCCAACCAGCACGGAGGCCTGATCTTTCGGCGCCAGGAGACCCAGCATTGGGGTGAGTTTCTGGCCCACGGCGCCAGCCTGGGACGGGGAGCTCGGGGGTTTCTTGGCCCCCTGTCCTGCTTGGGCTCTCTGCTGCCTCTTTCTTCCTGGCCCACCCAGCTTCCGTCCAGACCCCTCCCCACTTCGCCCCCACTGCCCTCTTTTGGCGCGTAGCATCGCCCAGCGCAGCCTATCTGGGCGCTGGGTCCGAGTACCCGGGGCTCCCGGGCGGGCAGCAGTTCCTTTGTTTCTGTGGCCTGCCTGCACCAAGCGGGGTAGGCGCTTTGTCTGCGGGCTGCCCAACCAGCACGGAGGACTGATCTTTCGGCGCCAGGAGACCCAGCATTGGGGTGAGTTTCTGGCCCACGGCGCCAGCCTGGGACGGGGAGCTCGGGGGTTTCTTGGCCCCCTGTCCTGCTTGGGCTCTCTGCTGCCTCTTTCTTCCTGGCCCACCCAGCTTCCGTCCAGACCCCTCCCCACTTCGCCCCCACTGCCCTCTTTTGGCGCGTGGCATCGCCCAGCCCAGCCTATCTGGGCGCTGAGTCCGAGTAGCCGGGGCTCCCGGGGGGGCAGCAGTTCCTTTGTTTCTGTGGCCTGCCTGCACCAAGCGGGGTAGGCGCTTTGTCTGCAAGCTGCCCAACCAGCACGGAGGCCTGATCTTTCGGCGCCAGGAGACCCAGCATTGGGGAGACCCAGCATTGGGAGAGCCAACATTGGGGAGAGACAGCGTTTGGTAGGCAAGGAGACCTAATCCGGTAAAAGAAGATCCATAGGGAGCATTTGGAAGAAGAGATGGGCCGACGTCAAGGCAAGAATTCGCCCAACAAGCTGAAAAGCAACATGAAGCTACCAGAAACAAGCGACCTCACAACGGGAGGACAAGAACCCCTTAATCAAGAGGAAGGAGAAAAGATTGACTTCATGAAAGTGATTGACACCCTTAAACAGCATGTAAAAAACGCCCTTATAGAAATGGATGAGAAATATAACAGAAAGTTTGAAGAATTGAATAAATCAGTGAATGATACCCTAGAAAACCAAGGAAAAACAATCAAACAGATAATGGAAACAGTTCAAGACCTGAAAACTGAAATGGAGGCAAAGAAGAAAACACAAACAGAGGGCCGTCTGGACATGGAAAATCTAGGTAAACGAATAGAGACTACAGAAACAAGCATAACCAGCAGAATACAAGAGATAGAAGAAAGACTCTCGGATTCTGAAGATACCATAGAGAAAATAAACACACTGATCAAAGAAAACAGCAAGTCCAACAAACTCTCATCACAAAACATTCAGGAAATATGGGACACAATAAAAAGACCAAACCTAAGAATAATAGGAGTAGAAGAAGGAGAAGAAGGGCAGCTCAATGGTCCAGAAAATCTATTTAATAAAATTATAGAAGAAAACTTTCCCAACCTAAGGAAAGA